CTACTCGTCCATCAAGATTGACTAGAAAGATCGGACGAGATAAGCGTTCTGCAGTAAAACAACCGTGTACAGACACCACCCATGCCGTGTCGACGACGTGTCTCGAAGCGCAAACGCTGCGCTGTGAAGCATCGCTTGGAGGAGTGGCATTGAGAGTACAGTATCGAGCCAGACAGCGAACGCTGCACCCGGTGGTTCGAGGCTCAACGTATACGAGCAGAAAGATGGGTTCACTGAGGTTCTTGTCGCTTTGAGTCCAGGTCGCTGGACCCCTCCACCACGACCACGCGCAGCTGACTACATCTTGCGACGACGGGTTGCCGTATGCAGTGTTTCAATATGGTTTGAGCAATACCAGAGTTGATATTAGCATGTCCCCATGGTGTTCTCAACCTGCGTCACTAGCTAATACAGCGGAGGACGATTCTGTCTTGCGGACGAGAAGGGCTCGCGAGAATACTGTATTGTCATATTTGATGTTGCTCCTTTGGCACAACGCCTACGTCCACCCCGTCGACGTCGCGGCTCTGTTAAAAAGCTGGCAAGCCCAATGTGAGAAGAAGGACCGTCGTCATGTTGGCTTTCGATTGCTTGGTCAACGGCAAAGCGATGGGTCCTTCATGCGCATCACAACCACTTGATTCCTTTCTGAAAAGCCAAGTACCAACACTCATAGAGCGCATACATTCCGGCGGCCATGAAGAAGAAAGTGCAATCTCCATCTCAATCGTCATATCTCTTCTTGCCACGTGGGCAGTCGATGTTTGCATCCACAACAGCGCGTCCTCCACGCGACGCCGTGCACAGCGTCGCGCTCATGGTCGACGACGACAACGTGCAGGCGGCCGCGCGCCGCGAGGGCTTGCAGCTCACGTACGTTTCGTGGGAAGACTGTGCGCGCTATCAAAACAGTTGCTGGGGGCCGTGCATCTCGGATATGACGCTCGTCGTCCAAGACACGTGGATGCCCGTGCTCCGCGCGCCCAACTTTCAAGGTATCGAGCGCATTGAGATGCTTCTGGCATTTTTTCTTATTGGCGGATGTTGATCTAGATCCTATCATGAGCATTCCGACGCGCCAGATCATGCTCACGGTTGGGAACGAGTCGCCGTACGAGGACGCGCCGTTGACCAAGATCTCGCTCCAAGAGTACCTCGAGACGATCACAAAGTACACGGAGCTCGAGCACAGCATGTACGCGCCGCAGCACGACGACCAAGCGGTCGTGAGCACGCAAGCGTGCTTCTTGCCGATCGAGAAGGAGGCCGAGAGCAAGACGGAGTTTCACGTTGGCTTGTTCAACTACCAGTCGCGGGCGGATGACCCGGCCGTGCTCGTCTTGGTCTGCACGGACGCTGGCACAAGGTATTACATGTTTTGTTCTCTACATCTAGACGCCGCATGCGAAACGCTGGTATGCGTAGTGCTCAAGTCGTGAGCCAGCGCGACACGGCCCTCTTCTGCAACCACCACGGCTTGAAGCACTCGTTTGCAGCGGAGCGTTTGTCCCAAGACCGCGCCAAGCGAGGGGTCGACGCCGCCGATGACGCCATGACAGCAGACGAAGAAGCACGCAACTACGTCATGATTGTCCAGATTCCACTGCAGCAAAAGCCGAGACCCCGCAGTTTCGCGCTCAAGAAGAAATGCTCGGGCGTTCGAATGATGGCACGTTCCTCCGCACCATTGATGATGGACGTCGAAGCTGCGATCATCAGCATCAGCGACGAGGCCAAGGGCCCGTACCCCAAGCTGAGCCGCTTCAGCCACGTGCAGCGAGACACGAGGTACCCGCTCCGCGTCACGGTGCAGTTTTATCAAGCGACGAGCAACGGGTGTGTGACACCCAACGTGGTGCGGGCACTGGCCAAGAAGATGGCGTCGGTCAAATCCAATGCGACGTGGTGGGGCTCCCTCGTCACGCCCAGCGATCCGATTCTGTATCCGCCAACGAACAACGGTGTCACGCCGCACAAGGACAACGATGGCTCGGTGAGCGCTACCAAGCCCTCGTTCTGGCAGCGTATGGCCGACTTGTTCTAAGCAGCTCGTTGATATTGTAATACATGACTTCTTGCATCCATTCAAACTTGGTTGCCCAACCTTCTGCAGTTGACCGCGGCAATGCACGCGGCTCCCATTGACATTGATCCACAATCCATTTTATCCGGATGTCCGGATAAAGTGACTTGGCGCCATTTTCATCCGATCGCAGAAGCGTTTGTCTGCGACTCCAAGCGTGCAAAAGGGCAGTTCTGTTTCGTTAGATTCGCTCTGCAGCACCAGCTCGCCAGCAACCATCCAAACAAAGCAATTGCAAAAACGGTCTTCTGCCACCTTACGCGTACTACAGTACCGGTACTAGTTTGCAGGCTATCACAGCTCTGCGTCATCTCTGCCAGCACAGCCTATTGCGGCGAGCGTTGTACGGCGAGCACTTGTCTGAGGTACGCGGTCCATTGGCCCGAAGCGAAAACGCTCATGTACTGTAATCTTGTCCACGTCGCAGGCTGGTTCAGCGTAGACGTCCACGGTACGCGTCCTTTCCACCCTTTACGATGCGCGTCCCAAATGTGTCGTTGCCATCAAATTATGATTGACCTCGTTCTTCGGTGCCCTCTTGAGTCCCTCGATGGAATCTCGCAACAAGGCGTTCTCCCAACACGGTCCAGCAGCACCTTGAGCGATACCATTGCAGCCGTGTCGGCGGTATCGCGCGTGTCCAACGCCATCTGGAATGTTGCGCAGGCCGTTGTCCCGATCCTCACCGGATATGGGTCGGAACAATCCCACCGTCCATTGCGATCGTCCGTGCTATTTTGACATTGGCATCCAATTGGGTGGGATGCTCTTATTGCTGTTGCTCGCTGTGCTCGGCGTTGCGGCGCTCGACCCGATCGTTGCGCGCGGCAACCGCCTCTACAACGCGCGCACGGGCGTCCGCTTCGTCATGCGGGGCATGACGTACGAGGGCGACGTGAGCGACGACCACTACGACGAGTTTGTGCGCGAGACGCTCGAGACGTCGCTGACGGACCTCTTTGGGCACTTCAACACGTTTCGCCTCTACAACATCAACCCGGATCGGTCCTACGCCAAGTTCATGGCGCACATGAACACCCGGGGCATCTACGTGCTGCCGTCGGCGTCGCCGACCAACAACAAGTACTACGGCTCGTATGCGACGCAGACCATGGACCGGACCGTCGACGGCGAGTCCTCGTACACGAGCATCGACCACATTGTCAAGCCGCTGGCGCCCAATTCGAAAAGTTGCTACCCGACCTACTTGCTCTACTATGGCAAGCGCGTACGGCGTTGGATTGTATCAAGGTATCGACTTGAAACGACATATTGCTATGTAGATCATCGAGAACTTTGCGCAGTACGACAATACGCTTGCGATCGTCATTGGCAACGAAGTGCTGCAGCTCGACCTCACGGCCGCCGCGTGCGTCAAGAGGTACGCGGCCGACCTGAAAGACTGGATGGGCGTCAACGTCAAGAAGCTGCGCACCATTCCGTTGGCGTACTCGGCCGCGGACGGCGCGTACACGGAGCTCGTGAACGGGGTGCTCAAGCAAGTGCTCTCCGCGACCGCGTACCACGCCATCAAGATCCAAGGGCTTCTCTGCGGCGACACGATGGTCCACGGCGTGATGACCAAGAGCATCGACATGTACATGATCAACGAATACCGGTGGTGCAACAAGAACACCTTTAACGAGGCCTACAAGGAGCTGCTCGGCCTCGCGCAAGGTGTCCCGATCGTCTTGGCGATCGGCGAATTCGGTTGCGCGACGAAGCGCCCGCGTACGTGGGATATGGTCCCGACCCTCTTCTCCGAGTCATTGACGTCCAAAGGCTGGACCGATGTGTACTCGGGCGGCTTTGCGTACGCGTTTGGGGAAGCTTCGCTGCCGCGCGACAGCATCTTCCCACTCTTTATCGGTATTACAACCAACGAAAAAACGGGAGTCGGGATGATGGATTGATACGAACTTGATACAGGCGCGGCCGACACGGGCATCACGACCAAGCCGGGCACGACGCCGACGCCCGACTACGCCAACCTGCTACAGCAGTACACGAAGGTGGTCACGCCGTTGGCGCCGGCAGAATTTGCGCCTCCGGACGTCTGCTCGTTTGCACCGACGCTGACGGCGGTGCCCACGATGCCGGCGGCGGTTGCGGCGACGTGGATGCCGTCGTGTGCGAACCCCAA